TTCTAAACTACATTGACTCCTCTTGCTTAGTTTGGTATATGATAACCATGTCAAATGAGTAGCTATACCAGGCTTATCACGTGATCAATTGCAAATGACACGTTTGGGCTGAACAGATAGAACTGGTACAAATCTGATTACTCTGGTCAAATACAAGCAAATGCAAATACAGTCATGTTACATACACTGGCTTTTAGTTATTGAAAATCGCAAACGTTTTCAGAGCTTATGTCAACAACTTATTTTTAACTTAAAGAAATTGTTCCTGGATGGTTTCCATGGCTAAACTTGCCAAATGCTAAATATGAATAATTATTCAGGATATAAGAAACTGCTTGTACATGTGTTACACTAAGAATTAAAGTTAGATTTCTTCGTCTTCTTCGCTGTCATCTGAGACAAACTCCTCAATAGAATCTTCATATCTGTTGTCACAGTCTACTAGCTTGCACACATCCGTGCACTTCAAACCATTTGCCAGGCAACTGCAGGTAGGAAGTTGGCATGACCTTGTACAGGAGCAAGACAGTAGTTCTAGCATGGCTGTAGGGGCTGGGTCACCGCTCATCCAGTCAATGGCAAAGTTATCACCGTCTTCGCGCCAGCCAAAACCAATGGGGGTCGTGTCCCTTGGCAGCTTTGNATTGCATTGGTGACTTTCGAACGCTCGTTCTAAACTACATTGACTCCTCTTGCTTAGTTTGGTATATGATAACCATGTCAAATGAGTAGTTATACCAGGCTTATCACGTGATCAATTGCAAATGACTCGGTTGGGCTGAACACATAGAACTGGTACAAATGTGATTACTACGGTCAAATACAAGCAAATGCAAATGTAATCATGTTACATACACTGGTTTTTAGTTATTGAATATCTCAAACGTTTTCAGAGCTTATGTCAACAACTTATTTTTAACTTAAAAAAAAAGTTCTTGGATGGTTTTCATGGCTAAACTTGCCAAATGTTAAATATGAATAATTGTTCAGGATATAAGAAACTGCTTGTACATGTATTACATTGATAATTAAAGTTAGATTTCTTCGTCTTCTTCGCTGTCATCTGAGACAAACTCCTCACATCTGTTGTCACAGTCTAATAGCTTGCACACATCCGTGCACTTTAAACCATTTGCCAGGCAACTGCAGGTAGGAAGTTGACCTGACCTTGTACACGAGCAAGACAGTAGTTCTAGCACGGCTGTAGGGTTTTTCGAAGGGGCTGGGTCACCGCTCATCCAGTCAATGGCAAAGTTATCACCGTCTTCGCGCCAGCCAAAACCAATGGGGGTCGTGTCCCTTGGCAGCTTTGCCGACTTCGCTTCCAAATGGCTGCTTGGAAGTTTGCGCGAGCCGCATGCTTGAACAAGCAGTCAACACAAGGTGGTAATTGGGTGGAGTCGATTTCACCCTTCTTGGCGCAGAACAACCTGTACCTCAGCTCATTAATGTTATCAGTTCCCGGTTGAGAGCAGTAGAGCTTACATGTAAACTCTTGAAGGCTCTGAAAAAGCATATCTGATAGAACCCATTCCATCCCCAGCTACTTAAACATTTCTTGGTAAGATGTCTATTGCTTAATAAGTCGTAGCGCTGTTATCTTTTCCCTTCCAGCGAAGGCACTCACTGTGTCACAACCAGTGAAAGCATGCATACTAATTAGGCATTTGAAAAGTTCCTCTCCTACGGCTGCCACCACACTGGAGATACTGACATATCTAGTTCTTGTCTGCGCTCCACACTTGACATACATAGATGCCGAATAAAGTGATTAAACGCTAGGCAAAGCAAGAATACGTCTGTATCTTCTGATGCCACAACCACCGCCTTGGTGCCCGATTTAGCTGCATGAGCTGCATGTAGAATAAGCGAGGTATCTGCTTCTTCCTGTGTGGAGTTGAGCTCTTCAACTCTATTGGCAGCTTGTGAGGTAATCTCATAACAGTCACTCTCGCACGAAAAGTGACCTTGCCTGTCAACTTTGTTCTGTATTGATCCCGTCTCCACCCCTTTACCACAAACTCTGTGAAGGCCTTTTTATTCTTTGGATTCAAAAGGAACTTTCTTCACTGCTACACCTTGTGTTCGGATTCTTCTGCATGTAGTCGCACTAAGACCCTTAAGAGGTTTTTTCTTCGTGCGTTTTCAAGAGCTTTTTGGCGGGTAACTTCTACAAATCTTCCAGAACGAGGACCGAAACCATCTTCTGCATTGTAAATGGGAAGATTTTCTGCAGCCAGTGCCTCGACACTCCTCTTTTTGGTCTGAACTATCTGCGTTGAGTTGTGTTCCGAAATGCCTCGCGTGCACCGCTATTCCATTTACTCTATGCGATGTTCCTTCGCCCGATAACGTCTCTTCTAGACGGTCAATGTTATCCCATGCCAAAGTAGAGCCAACATGAGGCTGGATGTTATCTGGCAATGGGATTTCACTTGTTGATGTCATTTTCTTAAGGCACAGTGCAGTGTTGATTTCTTCGAGCTGGGAATAGGCGATTCAGTGGCCGCAACGATTAGGCATTTGGATGAGTTCAACGTTATCTGTCAGGGTCTTCACAGCATAGGGAAGAGGGATCTGTTTGGATGGCTTAATCTTTCCTCTCGGCTCACTCCAAACATCAGATCTTGGGCGAAGGATTTCATCGACCTCTGCACTTTTGGATGACGGTTTTTATCTGGCCACTCTTTTTTTCCGGTCTCATTCGTTTGCAAGAACGGACCCTGCTCTTTGGGAACATTCATTGCGCTCTTAGCGAGATCTGAAGGGCGGGAGACTATGACATCTCATTTTCTGTTCTTTGAATAACTTCGCGAATGTCAATAGCAGTCCGGTGTATATTTGAGCTCCGAGAAGACTGACTTGCATTGTCCTGTTTTTCCAGGAGGAGGGTTGTTATGTATTTAGGCACATGAAGTGTGTCAAATTGGCGGGAACTATGAAGACACTGGTGGTTTCTAACAAATTTTCAAAGAGGAGGACATCGCCAAATTCTACCTGGAGATTCTGTCTGGTGTGCTTCTTTGTGGATGACTTGATTTCTTCAACAACCAAAGACGTTAAATACGTATGATATAAGTAGTTCTGTCATTTCAGTCAATCTGACTTTTTTTTCGTTTGCAGGAACATCTGATCTGATGTAATCATCTGATGTAAGCATCTGGTAAGCTTCTGACTTGAGATAAGCATACTCATCTTCTAGCGATTCACCACAGCCATCGGAAGCCCCAGTGGGACTTGCCTCAGCCCTAGTATAGCCCTTGTAGCATGTTCTGTGTAACAAGGTTCAGCTGTTACGATTTCACGCGACGCAATTGCGAGAATCCTGCTGTCCTTCTTTTCCAGGGCTGATTTTCTAATCGAATGATCTCCATGCAAATTTCTACATTGTTCCAAGGGTTCCCGATTTCTTGTTCCCTTAAAGATACACAGAATATGCAAACATGTTCGTAAGTTGTGCTGGTGGTAGGGGACTCTCGGATCGAGGTCCTCTTAGTTGTCGTTGGTTGTTGGTCGTCAGTTAAGCTTGCTGCTTTGAAATTGTTTCCAAGAGCTTTCTCATGGTAAACCCGCTACGACATTTTATGTGATAGTAAATGTTGGGATTTCTCCTTGATTTAATGTCTCAGCAATATCAAGGTGTTCGTGTTAACGAACAGCAGCTGCTCGCCTCTTACAAGTGTACTTCAGGACACCTCATCTTTTGGTCTGACTAGTTCCGTATCATCGTTAGCACAGTGAATAATACATGCACAACTGGAATGTTCTGAACGTGATCGCTTTTGATCGATGTTTTGTTCTTCAGGCGTCACATTTCCTCTTTTTGTGCCACCTATTCAGTAATGCAAGGTTCTACGTCAATATTAAGACTTAACGGTTTTAAAAAGGCATTTTTAAACCGGTTTAATTTAAGCGCTGAAGTTTGTATTTATTTATTCAGGTGTTCGTTCTTCACCAAAAATGATTTTATATAAACAACAAAAGCA